AATCCCTGACTGGATTCGCACCTTCCAAACCATGTAGGTTTCATAACTTATAATTGCTTTTCTTTACTTCTCTTCTATGGGATGGAATCGTTTGAACTGCTGAATTCAGTTGAAATTATCGAACATGAAACAGCCAACGGCTCGGATTCAGATGATTTCGTTTCGCGCTGAAAAATGAGTACATTCTCTGCTAAGCGACTCATTTTGCCAGTATCACTTGAACGACTGGTCAATAAATTTTGATTGACCATTGCGGAATTTCATTTCACCGCTAGAGCGAGTTGATTGAGGTGTAATTTTATCACCAGTTGTTGTGGTTCATAGCACAAATATTCGATTTGTTCTATATCACAGATACTTCAATTTCCTGAATTTCAGGACCGGGAGACGATAGCATATCTTAGCAGTTATCTTCTCAAGGTTTTTCCTGAAACGGTCACAGATGAGGATGCAGATCCGTGAAACACCCAACAATGATCTAAAAAGATGAGCAATTATCAGCACCGTTTGATTGGTTGTACAGATTTATTACAGACATATTTATTATCTCATTGCAGTTTGCTTCAATTGTTGAGCGAATGTCAATGGGAATTCATTGTTAATGTTGTATGTATAAATTGCTAATATGATTACATCACTGATGAATTTTGTTACCGGCACTGTTTAACGTTAATGGTATAACATATCCACGATTGAACTCTGCTGCGATGCCAACTCAAAGTGTAGCATTCCAGAAGGTTGCGCATTCCGTATATTGCTTGCGTTCCATGCTAACTTATTATGTGTTGATGATTTTTTCAAGGCAATACTCGATGTTCAAGGAAGGATTTCGACAATTCATTTGGCTTTATTTGGGGCAAAAACACTATCTGGCGTTTTTTGAAAATGTTTTGAATCGACATTCCCTTCAGTATGTATATATGTTTGTTTATCAGATGATATGAGACATTGCGTTAGATTGTCGATAGTGCTAAATCGCATTCGTAAACAAAATGATTTACAAGTCTCCATTGAATACCACTCGGACCGCGGATTTTTATTCGATTTTCTGTAAGAAACATATGCGTTGTCGGTGTTTATTCAATGAGAAATCCTTTCAGAAATGTGAATAACACTCCACCAGTCATAACAATGTTCATTGTAATTTCTGAAAACGGCGAAACTTTAAGTGCTTGTGAAAAATGACAGAACAACATTTGCTCATCAGCTGTAGAATGTGACGAATGTTGGGAAAATTCGCCACTACAAACAATAATGGAATGAAAAAAACAATGGCCAATGGACGAATAATTTTTCACTGAAAGTTCATTTGCACACAAATTCAACTAAACAGCATATTAACCCAATAGACGTTCTTTGTGTCTCTTCAACGATTCAATAATTTATGGTCATTTCTTCCCAATAAAATGTCTAACGTCCTCTTAAGACAGTTGGCGACTGTTTGATCGCACAATTGCATCAATTACTCCGTTCAAAAAAAGGATTGAAATTTACGAGTAATTTCACAAAAAAAAATTGAAATATGAATGTAAGTTGAACATTAAAAATTGTCCAACAATGAATCATGTGTGGCATGTCAACTATCCGTCCATACGTCCACCCAATCTGTTAAACAATTGAAACAAACACAAAAAAATACTTGAGCTTTATCATATATCATCATGCAAAATACCGCAATCACTCGCAATAATTTATGACAGAGACAGTGTCGAAAACTGATCACAAGAGTTGAATGAATTTCACATTGATGAGCACATGAACTTGAAATCAAATTTTTGTATTTTCGTATTTCACACTATCGTAAAACTATTTTGTACCAGATTTCTGCATCTTCATTGCTAAAATTATTCTTAAAAATCAACAAAAAAGAGCAATTACAAAAAGTACAACAGGCATTTTGCACAAGAAGTGTTTCGGTGAGTAGCAAGTGGCTTCACATGAATGTAAGAGAGACAAATTCTAGCCACAAAACCCGAGCAATCATTTTGCTGTTTTTTTCTGACTTTTGTACTTTGAAATTTTCAACAGTTCATTTTATGTGCTAATGGCCACAAGTTATCATGCAACATATATCTAATCAGCAATATTTTGCATGCTACTCTAAATTCGGTCACATCATAACCCGATACATTCAATGTTTTCTGCTCGTTCCCGAATTTATGAATTCACTCCAACGACAGTAATACAGAATAAGTCCACCGAGCTGGCACGGTTGAAGTCACTTATTGCAGAAAATCCATCCTGGACAAAGCGTATCCTAATGAAGGTCATGTCAGAACTTCAAAATACGCTCGAAAAGAGACATCAACAAGCAGTTGACTTGAAAAAACATAAGAAATTAGTCCTAGTATCCCCGTCAGTGTTTTTCACTCAAATCCACCTTCTCATCTCCATCGCCCGATGGTAACCTCTTCACGCTGAAAAACGTTATCGCTTCTGGTATATGAGGACAGGAATTCGAACGAGCATGTCGGATCTGAAAGATTCGATTCATGTTATAGACTCGGTTTTTGATTGGAACAGTGAAATGTTGCTTGGGACACATTCTAAAATTGCTTTTCCCAACAGTTTCATTGCGTTATCTTTGAAAAATCATTTGATGGGGTGAGGGGATTAATTCACAAGGCCACTAAGGTACCAGACATTGCAAAACTAACGTAATCGAGGTAAGCATCTTTCATTTCGTAGATCAGGAAACTGACCAGCCGACTCCAGCATTCATACAACTTACCCTTAAATGAAAATTTTTTATTCAAAATCAGCTCGAATCTATCCCTATTTTTCAAATGTGAACGTTTGTGGAACAAACAATCGCTGATCACTGAAAATTCTCGTCTCATGCTCTACGATGGTTGGAGTTTTTTCATTGCTATGAGGCAATTATGGTTGAAACCGTGTTATTTGAATTGTGAGGTTTCATCAGGAAATATGATCATATACTGCTACAGGGAATCGTAGTTTTCAACAATGTCGAAAAGGGAAATAATTCGCTTTATGAAGAACACATAAATGATGTCGGACGTAATATTGAAGAGTTTGTCTTGCTGTTGATTAAAAAACTTGAGAATTTGCACTATCGCAAAAGTAATTGAATACGTAGCGAATACTAGACGTGAAAATTAATTGAGGAAAGGAAGCGAACCTGAGTGAGATCGTTGCAAAGAACTGAGATCAAAACCTTTTTGAACACAAGCCACTTTTCGGCCGTAAAACTCATCGTTCTTATATTACAGTGTTGTCGACCGACCATTCTGAAAAGCAAAACAACAAAATAGTTGGAACAGCCACTGCGTAATTGAGCGAATCCATCTGCCCTTATAGCTGAGTAGCCGTTAATGAGACACTTTATTAGCAGAAATAAATTTCAGTGGAAAGCTCAATTATTCCGCGAGATGTGTGAAAAATGGCATGTGATATTGCACGCGTTAACTTCCACTACTCATCGGAACATGTCTATAATATATCTGCATAGGCACTATCAACATATCCCTATATCTAGATCTATTTCCAGCGGAACATCTATAGTATAGCTATATCTATGCGGGCACTATCAATCCACCAAACTAGCTGATTCTATCAGCCAGAGTGCCTTGTTCATAACGAAGAGTGAGTAGAACAGGATGTGCAGCTAAATATAGAGCGAGGTTCTGATGTGGTCATGATTGATGACTGCGAATTTGATCCAAATTAAGAGAACATGTCACTGAAGCAAAGACGTTTAGTCCAAGTGGCGTTTATCTTGCTAAACAAAACGCCTGTCAATTGTAATTGATGACCCTAGCATGGTTACGCAAAAACCGTCGACACAAATCTACTAAAGCATTTCAACTTTGCTGTGACAGAAAGGATTCATCAAATCTCTAAACTTTAAAAGTTTATTTGAATCCTTCGACAATTACAGTCGATTGAAAAGAGTGAAGAGTCGTGAGATATCCTTCTATTTCGGTGATCTTCAGGCAGAGCATTCAGATTGGAAAGACGTGACCCTTAGTCGATTTCAGCAACCATACACATATATTCCGAAGGGCTCTGCAGTCATGAAATCAAAAGCTTCGAAGAGGCCTAAAGAGTGATGCAACTGATACCTTATAATCTGTATGAGTTCGTCGTTTCGATTCGCTTTTGGAAGCAAATCGACAACTGTTGCGATGAAACGTTGGAATTTGCAAACATGCGTCCGGAAATTTCGATGTTGCATCAGTTCTTCCTCTGGCAGGTCTTGTAAGTCGAAATGAACGGCAAATTCTTGATCCTCGTACTGAAAGCCGTATTATGTGCTATTTTACAAAGAGGTAATTTGAGATGTAAATGGAACCCCACAACAAAGAGTAGTTGATAAATTGAAAGTCGGAAAAAGCATCAGAGATTGCCGAATCTGCCCCAAATTTCTTCTATCTGAAATTTATTCAGTCTAAGGCATTATTTTATTACGCATCCTTGGGGAAAACACCGCAAAACAAATCCATGAATTATAGTGCAGTTATTCGATCTTGAACAAGCGAACTTTTTGATGTTTCGAAACGATCGTTCATCCCAGCGTCAATGAGGGGCACATAAAAACGAATTAAGTTGATGAAACAGGCGATCAATCAAGCAGATTCCACCCGTTTCGGACATGTATTCGACTGATTCGCTGAGGAATCTTCATTCATCAATTGCATTTGAATTGCATTACAATGCGGTATCATGCAAGTTCATAGAGAATGTCCGATCGAACTTTTGAAGTGCACATTTTGAATGTTATCATTGTGGCTGCGGCAATGTGTCCCTCTAATTTCTGATGCACAATTATTCAAAACTTTATTTCGTTTGTCATTTAGTCGAAGACTGGCAAAATTGTCATTGCCTCATTCAATTACTAGGGAGCAAAAGATGGATTCAGTGGAAATATCAACAGACATTTGCTTTATTCCCGAGCGCACAGCTCCGCATACTTTTGAAGTTTGAGACGTTATGGAGCCATTGAAAGTGATCTCAAAAATTTTTTTGTTGGAGAAATCCAAAGGTAACATTATTTTCCGGAGAGCCTCTAGAGCAAGAGAACTATTCGGCATGGCTTTTAGGCAGATTGGAGGTATCGCCGATCTACAAAAGATCGAGAAAGCATTTCTCGGTGACAGCAGCAATCCACTATTGCTTGAAGAGACCCTCGTAAATATCAGCATACAATAAGCGTATTGCTGGTTGGGACGTTGAAACAGTGAAAACATTTTCGAAACTCATTCCATTGCAACATATGATGTGTTGAATGGTGGTATTGACAAGATCATATTAACTGGCTCATTCTTTAAGCTTGTGATAGATCATATGCGAGCATTGCTTAAGATTCCACGGAAATGGGAAGGAAATTGAGTTCGTGTGTGTATGATGATGTTATGGTGAATAAATAGCATTTGAAACTAACCACAAAGAGTCGTACGAAGAGCCTCTGGAAAACATCAAATTTGTTCGGTATTGACTCCCACGCGTTTGTAATGGCCGCTACCTGAGTACTATCCATTATCAGCACTCGACCTCAAAAGCATAATTTCATGAGTGCCTGCAATTGTTCGCGATCTAAAAGTGTGGTCAATTTTCTGCATTTTGGGTGCTTGATACTTCAGTCCATTTACATGAGTGAAATGAACAAGTTCCATTTATTAAGGCTTGTATATTATATATTTGTCAAACATGTTGATGATCAATTTGTTAAGCATATGCGGTAGTGATTTTCCCTGAGAACAGTTCCATTAGGCAGTTTGGACCAAACGAACTCAACCAAATCATGAGTGAAAAATGGGGAATCAGAAGAGGAAATGAAATAGTAGAGATGTGTTGTTGACAATTCCTCAAAGCTTACAATCAGTATTTCAGCAATTCACTTGATGGAAAAAAAAGCAAAAACACACTGCAATTCAACGCTCTACTATAGTGATCTTTGACTGAGCAGCTCAGAATTTCG